AATCGGTACGGTACGATTCGCCAGACCAGTACAGTACGGTACGCAATGAAATTTTGTATTTATCATGTGATAGTTTACTCCGCCATTAGTATACGTCAATTTTTTAAATTTATTTTTATTTATTACTTATTTTATAAATACAACGAATTTTGATATAATGAACAACAGATTTTACTACATTAAAAAAAATAATTATATCACATTTTACTAATTAAATGCCATATCCGCCGAAATCTTTATCATTTTTTTATTTTCATTTTTTTATTCTTTTTATTTTATTTTTTGAAAAAAACGAAAAAGAAAAAAAATCTAAACTAAAAAAGAAAAAGAAAAAAGAAATAAAAAAGAAACAAATTGCAAAAAAAAAATGAAAATATCAAATAAATAAAATGAAAATGAAAGTATAGAAATGAAATAAAAATAAAAATTAAAAGAAAGAAAAAACTAAAAAAAAGAAAAAAAATAAACAAAATAAAATAAAAAGAATAAAAAACAACGAAATGAAAGAAAAAAAAAGTAAAAATAAAAAAAAAAATAAAACAAAAAAAAATAAAAATAAAAAAGAATAAAAAAAAAAGGAAACTAAACGAAACTAAACGAAACTAAACAAAAAGTCTGATGGGAGGGAAATAAAAATAATAAAAAAAAAAAGATTTTAAAAAAAAAAATAATAAGGGGAATAAAATTAATTAAAATAAAAAGTCTGGGAAAATTTAAATAAATAGAGAAAAAAAAGAAATGCGAAGTTCTGATTTCCTGTGACGAACTTTGAACGTGAATATCTTAACATCTTTAAACAAGATCAATATATGGATGGAAAACTGGTACGGTACTGGTCCAGTTTTCTATCTACCCAGACTTTTTATTTTATTTTTATTTTTTTTAAATCTTTTTTTTTTTTTTTATTCCCCTTCTACCGGACTTTTTATTTTATTTTTATTTTTTTTTAATCCATTTTTTTTTATTATTTTTATTCCCCTCCCACCGGACTTTTTATTTTTTTTTAAATCTTTTTTTTTTTCTTTTTTGTTTAGTTTTGTTTAGTTTCCTTTTTTTTATTCTTTTTTTATTTTTATTTTATTTTGTATTTCATTTATACTGACATTAACACTAACACTAACACTAATACTAACTCTAACACTAGCACTGACACTAACACTAACACTAAAGGTAGAGGATAAGGAATAAAGGTTGTTTAAATATTTTTTTTTTTTAAAAAAAAAAAGATTTGGATCGGTCCGTTACGGTGACGTAGTCAGGTGCACGATGAAATTGTTTTTATTGTTTTTTTTTCTAATATTATGTATTGTCTAAATCTTATTGTTGGTTATTTTATTATAACTAGGGTGGCTTTGAGGCGCCACGCCGCCGCGTTGCGTTTCTTTTTCTTTTATGATGTTTGATTTTCTCGTGTAACATTTGTGACATTGTCAATATGAACGTTAATAAAATTTTGTTTTATTTTATTTTTTATTTTATTTTTTTGATATAATAAGAAAGAGTGAGAAGAAAAGGGGTACGTAAGGGTGTAGTTATTTTGTGTATTGTTCCGCTTCTTTTTATATGGGCAGAGTATTTTTTGCTACTGTTTCGAGACGTTCGTACTCTTTGATCATTTCGGGGTCTACCATAAACGCGGTCCTTTCGAGTGCGGCGATTTGGACGTGATCCCAGTTCGGGCACCTGCTGAGGGCTACGTATGCTTGTCCGGTTGAGAATATTTGTTTGTCTAGGCTGACGGATATGTTTTTTAGGGTGAGTCCTTGAGTCTTGTGAACGGTTAGGGCGTAGCAATTTTGGAGGGGGAATTGGAGTCGGCTGGCAGGGTTTCCATTAATAGTAAAGTGGTCGGTTTCCGGTTTTACTTCTAGGTCGATGATTCCGTTTGGAACGCTGAAGGATACTCGGACGGAGTTTGTGTCTATGTTGACATCTGTGATGACTCCGATGGTTCCATTGCAAATGTGGGTGTTTGATTTGAGGTTTTTTAAGTACATAACCTTTGCCCCTTGTTGTATTCAGACCGAGGGGGGTAGGTTTGTTTTTGATTTGAAGGATTGGTCAGTCAAGTTTGTGTCCCATTGTTCTCCGTTTAGTGTATCGATAGAGTTGGAGATCATGAATTTTTCTGATATTGATTTTGTTGGCTGTTTCGCGATATCCTACAATGTTTGTCGTGTTTAATAGGAGGTCGATTGGTTTGTTTAGATTAAATTGTTCTTGTTTTCTTTGTAGTTTTTGCCAGATTTCTTCCGTTATATTTCCTAGGCGGATGTTTTGTAACATATCGTAGAATTCTGATTGGTCTTGTTAGCGGTGGGGTTGTCATAGAAAGAGGGGGTAGAATAGTTTCCAGGTTGAGGATTTAAATATTGGGGATCCAGTTATGGGTGGTAATTGTGCTAGGTCGCCGGTTAGTACTGTACTGATGCCTCCAAAGGGTGTGGTGTTATTGTAAATGGTGGCGAATATGTTTGAAATAAAATCTAAGAGTTCCGCGGATACCATCGAGATTTCATCTATTATAATTGTATTAATTCTTCTTAGTTTTTCTTTTAGTTCGTTATCGTGGAATGTAAGAGTTTGGAAACCGTTGTTGGTTGAGATTATTTTTAGGTCTGAGTGGATAGTATTTCCGTTGATGTTTTATGCGGTGACGCCTGTGGGTGCCATTAGGAGGTAGTTGGATCGGTTGTCTTTCAGTTGATTGATTAATAGGTAAGTGATGTATGATTTTCTGGTCCCTGCGGATCCTGTAATGAAGAAGTATGGCCATCGTCGTGCATCTCTTCAGCCTAAGTAGTTTTTTAGGGTGGATATCGCGTAGAGTTGGTCTGGTGGCAGTTGGTAGATAATGTCTTCGGGGAAGATTGGTGATAGTATTTTTAAGGAATCAAGTTGGTTTCTTAGAATGGATGTCATGTTTTTTGGGATTATATTTTTTAGATTTGATAGTAATTGGTCTAGGATTTCAGTGTATTTCAAGTTCATTATTTGGCTTATCTGCTGGGTTCAGTTTTGTGCATTATGTTAGATCTCCTCTATCTCTTGTGGGAACATGAATGTGAAATGATCACGGTAGGTTGAGTAGTTTCCCTTTAATTCTTGCTCACTTCATACTGGTATATATTTTAATAATTGTTAGTAAAAATAGGGTTCTCCATCAGTTTTCTTTAGGAATTAGTGGCATGTTATGATTGGTTTTGTTCTTTGAATAATGTAGTTTTCGAGTTTGTCATTGTAGACATTTCTTCTTGTGGTTTGTTTTGGTCTATTTTTTTGGATTTGATACTTTTCAAAGTATTAGGGATAGGTGATTCTGTCAAATATTTTCTGTTAATCTATTCATATATTTTTCTATTGGATTCTTAAAATATAGATCTTCATTTTCATTTGTTAGTAGATGGATTGGTAGTACCGCATTGGGTCTGCTGTTAGGGTCTGTGTTTAGATATTTTACTTGAATTGAGAAATTGCGTAATATTAGGAACATGGTTTCCATCGCTTCTAATCTTCTAGTGATTATATGTTCTCTAAATTTGTCATTTTCTACAATGTTAAAGACGTGAAAGGGTTTCGCTTTAGTTACATATTTTGTGATATATCTGGCAAATCCTTTTGAGATTACGTATTAGGTGTTCATGTGTACGTTCTAGATTAGCAAAGTTTTGGGATAGTATGGCACTACTCATTGGTCTGAGGTTTTGTTCATTTGAGTTACATGAAGGAATTTTAATTATTTGACATCTTAATATGCTATATTGAACTAATATGTCAATTTGTTCAATTTGTTTGATTGGGTAGGTTGTCGAGAAACTGTATGTGATCCATGTGGCTTTATTTTGTATAGTAATTTTTCACAATAGACACAAGGGGTGTCAGGATATTCTTTTAATATGATTGATTGAAATTGTTATAGATTTGTTGAAAAGGTTCGCTTAGTTTCTATGGATCATTGTCTGGTAATGTGGATGATATTTAATTTATAAAATGATTCAAGTTTGGGGTATTTGCATTAATGATTTGAATACTGATATTTTGGGATGATTGGGTATTTGTTAGGTTAGTGAATGAATCATCAAAGGATAGGTTAATCATATTTTCAGATGGTATATCTATGGAATATATATTATATACGTGATGAGATATAGTTAATTAAGTTGATTATGGGTATCTTTTTTTTGTAAAGGTGAGAAAGAAGTAAGGATTGGGATGGAAGCAAGGAAGTTATTTATATGTTTATTCAGTTATTGTTATTTGTTTTATTAAGGGCGATAATTATGTTAATTCTTCTGATTATTTTTGTTTGAAAGCAATCATACTAATTGGAGATATAGTAATTGTATTAGTTTTTTTAATTCTTATTATTTTGGAATAAGACGATTGTATTGATTCTTTTAAGATGATCGAGATTTTTTTTTTAGGTCAAGTCATCTGATTCTGGTTTAATAAATTCGTTTATCTTTTTTTTGGAATATAGAGCAGGTTCTAGAAAAAATTGGGTTTAATATACACATTTTTTTTACTTATTAGGGAAGAAGAAAGGAACAATTAGTCCAGTTTATTTGCGATTGGAATTCTTTAACTTATTATTATTTTATTGGTTTAATTTACTGATTTAGTTTATGCTATTTAATCAATAATAATTTTATTTTTTTTTATTTTTTTTTTTAATTCGAAGAAAGTGTTTTTTTATTGATAAAAAAAAAAATTTGATGAATAATTCGGTAAAAAAAAAAGGATAAAATAAAAATAGTAGCAAAAAAAAAAGAAAAAGAGGTGGGAGGAAGATTGGAAAGAATAATTTTTTATGTATCTGTATATAGAAAATAGTAAAAAATAGTAATAAAGAAAAAAATGAAAAACGAAAAAGGAAGATTATGAGTTTTTTTTTATTTGGGCTGTGGATTTTCATTTGAACTTAGTGATTGGGTGTTTGACACAGTATTTGTCACATTTGAGCTTGATGATTGGGTGTTTGATGCGATACTTGCCATTGCTTATGCAGAAATTCTTCCTGAAGATTGTCCGGCTAGCCAGGAATATAGAGATAAGGCAGATTCTCCAGTTGGTGATTCAATATTCATTGCTATAGACATTGGAAGGAAATTAATATCTTGTATTTCAACTATGTATTCAAGTGTTTCGTCAATATAGATCATATCGCCAGTGATCATTAAATTTGAGTTTTTTCTAATTCTAGTTGCCTTTTTCTCAATTCGTCTATCGGATTTCAAGTATCTGCATTTAATGCAGAATGTTCTTCCTGTGGGTCCACCTTGTGAACTTTCAGCAAATTCAGTCACGTTTAGCTTAATAATTTTAAATAGGTTGTCACTTTGAACTGATTCCATTTCTGCAACGAAACCTGTAAGAAAAACAGAAATAGAACTGATTGGAAAATTGTCTCGACCGATATTTATAAGGTCAGCTGCATTTGCTGTCATCTAGATATTTTTTTGATAGTGAAAGAGAAATATTTGTTGCGAATATTTTTTTTTAATTAAATTAGTTAACTGAATTTATTTACTTTTATAGCATCATGAGGGTCTTTTAGAAGTGCGAATTTTCCAGTAAATCTTAAGATATTTTCATCAGCGAAAAGAGGAATCCATTTCGGTACTTGGGAATTTTTAGGAAAAAAAGTAATTATTCTTAGTTCTAAGTTTACATTTGTTTCTCTCCTTAATATAACGATTGCTTCTTTCACAATATGCTCTGTAATGTCTCTTTCAATTATTGAATGAATTATACAAATAAGCGTGAATTTTGCTGGCATGATTTTATAGTTTTTTTTTTGAAAAGAATTTGACAGTTATTGGTAATTGGTAATAGTAAAAAGAAGATGGAAGCTTTTTATTTATCATTTTTTTTTTAGTAAGAAAAGGTAGTGTAAGAGAAACAGGATTTTTTTTCTTCTTGAGAAAAAAAAAATCTTCTTTAGGAATTTCACGAGAGATTCATCTTTTTTTTTTTTTCATTGTTTATTCGTTACTTATTTCTGAGAGAAAAAAATATAGAAATGAAGGAGTGTTTTTTTCGATAACTTTCGATATAAATTCGGAGAGGATTTTAAATAGGTCAGCGAGATTTTATTTCAGTCATCCATAAATGCATTTGCTTTAAATAGTCAAAATAGTCATGACATATTTTCTTTTTTTCTTAATTAAATTAACAAACTAAAAAAAAAAAGTTTAATGAGAAAATGTTTAAAAACGCCACTTGTGTAAAGCTCTTTTGCACGGCGTATGGCGTAATTAGATCCTTTTTTTTCTAATATATTGAACCGCTGTTTGTAAAAGCTGATTGTCGAAGCATAAAGCATGAAGCAAGAAGCCTTACGCATGAAATTATGCATAAGTTCATATAAGATTATGCATACAGAATGGAAGAAGCTATAAAAATGGTAGAAAGGGTTAAACCATATTTTATTATCAAACTAACCGAAAACTGAATTTTTCAGTTAGTATAAACCGTCAAAAAATTATCTGATTCCTTACAAATAGAGGTTAGTGTTTTTAATCCTTTACAAATAGAGGTTAAGCAAGTAGCACAGGCTTTTCTGTATGCTAATTAATTAATTATTTTTTTTTTATTTATGATTTTATTGGTTAGATCGGTAGATTCGCCACTTTGGTTTCCTAAATTTTTTTTTGATTATTAATCAAAATCTAATGGCTTTTCTTCGATTTTGGTTAGGACTGACTCTGACAATTCAGACTTAGATAAATGTGAGTGCTGCACCTTTCAGCTCATTACGACAACGCAATTAAGTGCGTAATGATTCAAACATTTTTTTTGCCCTTTTTATTTTTTATTATTATTTTTTAATAAAAATAAATAGATCGCGGGGGTAAAAATGATAAAAAAAAAAATATATAAAGGATAAAAAGATCGTGGGGTAAAAAATATTAAAAAGATCGCGTGGGGAGGATTAAAAAAATTTTAAAAAAAAATATATCGGGAGAGTAGGGTAAAAAAATGATTAAAAAAATAAATTAAAAAAAATTAAAAAATAAAAATAAAAGGGATTGCGGGGGGTAAAAAATGGTTAAAAGAAAAAAAATTAAAAATAAAATAAAAAAAGGAAATAAAAATATCAGGGGGATTAAGAAAATTAAAAATAAATAAATAAAATGGATAAAAAGATCGTGGAGTAAAAAATAATAAAAAAAATAGATCTCAGGTAAAAAAATGATAAAAAAAAATAGTTTAATGAAAAGTTAGAAAAACCTTATATCCCTATATTTAAGAATTCGACAGTTTAAGGTAAATAGTTAAGTAAACAGAATTTACACTGTCGTGAAAACTGACGTAGCAGTCATAGACCAAATACCTGACTATTAATGAAATTTAAATTGAACGTAATTAAAATTCGAATAAAGTTCAAAATTGTCTTGGAAACATCTTACGCAAAGAAAAGACCGAAGTATGTTAGTTTAGTGCTCCATAAGATGTGTTGTACATATTCATACCGAAACTGTCAATATCTACAGGATTCGGAAAGGAGAATATTAATATTGAAAATACAATTATATAAAAAAAAATTTTATATTTACACCATCAGGATTTCAGACTCATACACATACAGGGATTGTATGTCAAGTCTACTATTAGATTTCTACTGAACACTTGCTGCTTTATTAAAATAATTAAAAATGTTTTAGTTAAAAATTTCAAAATAATATTCGGTGTTGATAATTGTTATTATGGCTAAATGTGGTCCATTTAATTTAACTATAAATGAAATTAATCAATTTATCATTAATTACATATCTTCCACCAAAGAAGAATATCTTTTTTATTCTTTTTTGAAGAAATAATTATAATTGTAAGTTTATTGACTGACCAATCCTAGCTGCTTGTCTTCTGCGTTTTATAGGATGCTGTCCAAATCTAAAGTTCATTCTTAACTAACACATATATTCTGAATGACATTAAAAATTCTGACTAATAAACTGAGTTTGATCAAAAAATTTATTAAGTAAAAAATGCTGCGTCATAGTTATTGATGTAACAAATATAGTTAAAGTTAGAGAATTATAAAGCCCTTGACTAAAATAAATCAAAGTTCATGTTAGGGTTAGGATTATAATTAGGATTAATAAGTTAAAATACATTTGTTTTCTTCAATTAAATTGCTAGTTGTATTTTATAGATTTTTTTTATATTTTATAATTTTGAAAGGATGTTACAAAATCGAATATACCTTTATATAATTTTTGCGAAAGTTATACAAAGTGGATTTGAATATTTAATACTTTGCGAATCGATTTATACAATCATTTTCTTGATATAAAAGTCTCGATTTTATCATTCTCCTCAGTAATTCGCAAGACCTGGACCTATATTTGATCTATAAAATACAGCATACTTTTTTGGAGTCCGATTTCTTTCGTTACTCTTACAGTGTATCCAGAATTAAAATCATTTTTCGCAAAAGAAAATAAAAAACTATCTGATATTAAACCCCAATAATTTTCAAAATTGTAAGGTTCCCAGCTTATTGGATAATAACCACCAATTCATTTTCTTGTGATTCTGAAATCATAATAGTTTATCAGATAATTGATAAAACACTTTAGCTTCAAACCCATCTCTACTAGCACGATAAAGAAGATTAATGAATAAGGAATATCCTTAGTATTGTATAAGAATTTGCAATTATGGGTAAATGTACTTTACTAATGAAAGCAGAATTAAAAGATATTTCATGCCTTGAGGTATTTTGCGGTATATTCAGATCCAAATGATATCTAATTATATTTTTATAGAAATTTCTCAGGAATATTAATTCAAATGGATCAACTTTTCGCACAAAATTTTCTTGAGTAATCTGAAACCTTCTGCTTACTTTATAATTGTTTATAAGTAAAATATAAACGAAAGTACTAATTACAACAATCAATTTCTTCACTAGTATGATAAAATTAAAATTATTAAATTTGAATTTCAAAGATTTGAATACAATTATTTCTCGACAATTAAAGAAAGGCGATACCGGAAACTAGTTTGCTGTCAAGAATTCTACTGTAATAAAATGTGGGAGTATTAAAATACATGATTATATACTCAATTACATTGCTCGAAGAAGAGTTTATAAAGAAAAGATCATTTTAATAAGCAAGTTAAAAAGGAACAACTTGAATACCCTAACCCAATTTTGCGGCTGAACATAATCTAATTTAGTTAAATTAAATATACCGCCGATTTTCTTTTTTTTAAAAAAAAGTTAAACGCCGCCGATGATCAAAGTGAAGAAAATTTTATTTTTTACTATTTACAAACGGGCTATTGAAACTTTAATGTGACGAAATATTAGAAGTTTGACTGACAAGATATATTTATAAACATTTAGCTATGCAAAATAAATAAATTGAAAGGATATGAGATTGTAGACGCAGAGGGTTGATGTAAAAAAAAAAAATTCAAATCTCATGACTATATTACTGGAAATCATGATTTTGATTGTGCAAAAAATTCATAGCACCATTCATCTTATGTTATTTTAAAAGGTAGCACAAATCATAAATTAATTTTATTTTGAAACAGGAGAAGTAAATAGAAAATAAAAAGAATTCTAGAAATTTAAATTGGAATATTCGATCTAGAATTCTGTATATCGAGTCGTAAATATTTTTCTGAAATAATGTAACAGTAAACTATAAATGTCGTGAAATTCTCAAATTTCAAAAGTCATATTTTTGACAAGCTTTTATTAATATGTTGATCTAACTACAAATTAAAACCCAGTCCTATATCAATTACATTTTACCTTTTGTATATAATATTGGTTATAAATGTCATTGTGGAAACTAATACTCACTCATTTACATTTATGTTTCGTCAAATATATTGTAAAAATTGCTTATTCAAGTATATTAGTTATATAACTGTTGATAATACATATTTGGATGTGCTTATAATTAGAAATAATGTTAAAAGTAATAGACATGAAGCTAGGACTACAGATTTCTGCACACGAAATATTCAAGAGTGGTGTAAAACATGTAGTGACATTTTATTTTTCAAACAAGTATATCATTTTAGTACCTTTAATACGAGTTTTAGGGATGGAGATGGAGTTAAATTATTCGAAAGTTATAAGGATTGCAAGTTATATGGAAAATTAATTTATCAGGACTTATCAAGTTTATGTCCTAATCCTCAAACATGTTCAAATAGTTATAAAATTTTTTCTGGATGGGTAAAAACAACTTTAACTAAGAAGCTTATTCCAATACTTTATTTGCCATGGTGGGATACGAGTTATTATGGATGTATACTACCCTCGGAAAAGTATCCGGTTAAGCTCTTCTTAAATTGCTCGAGATCAGACATATTAACTAGCTATTTTTTTTTAAATAAATCTCCTGGTTCTGACAATTAAGTTCATGTTTATATTCGTGTAATAATGCGTAGATAAACAAAAACGTAAACATTTCTCTTTTTTTCAAACTGCGCCGTTCGATATAGGAAAAAGTCGCAAATTAAATGAGTTTGAATGCGGAAAAATAATCGGTTTACAGATAGCTGGAAGAACCCATGAAGCTATTGCTCGTCTTTTAAAGATTCCACAAAGCACAATTACAGATATATGCTAATTCTAGTATTCTAGTAATGGATCAAATGAATAATGACGATATCAAACACTAAAAAAATTTTAAAGAAGAATCATTGATCTTCTCTTAGTGAAATTCATCACAATTTCCAGAATTTAAAAAATAAAAAAGTTTCACAAGATACTATTCGTAAAACTCTTCATCAAATGGGAATTCATTCACGAATTGCTGCGCCAAAGCCACTTCTTACAGAATCTCAACGTGAAAATCGATTAAAATGGTGTATGGAGCGACAAAGTTGGTCAATTCAAAAATGGAAAACAGTAATTTGGAGTGATGAATCATGATTTACTCTTTGAAATTGACGGACCTGGTCGTGTTTGGCGAGAAAATGGTACCCGATATGATATTAAAAATTTGACTCCTACAGTCAAACATGGTGGCGGTAGCATCATGGTATGGGGATGCTTTTTAGGGAAAGGATTAGGTCCACTAGTAAAAGTTGAAGGAAAATGAATCGGCTAGATTATATTGATATTTAGAAAAAAATTTATTGCCATTTATTCAATTTAAATATTACAGACAGCTTTATGCATTCCAAGATGATAATGCTCCAGTTCATACAGCGAAGGATGTCAAAAACTGGATTGTTCAGAAAAAGGTTAAGGTACTTCCCAACTGGCCCTCTCAATCACCAGACCTTAACCCGATTGAACATTTATGGAGTGAACTCAAACGAAGGTGCAGTAAACGTACTGTGCATCAAAAAATCTTCATGAACTTGAGGAAATATTGCAAGAATGGAGAAAAATTCCATCTGAAACCTATATTAAACTTATAGAAAGCATGTCACATAGAATTGAAGCATGCATTAGAAGCCAAGGATGGCCTACTGAATATTAAATATATTAAATGTTTTATTTATATCGAAAATCTCAAATAAATAAAATATTATTTTAGTTGACCGGATACTTTTCCGAGGGTAGTGTATAATTAGAAGTAATTCTCATAAGTATCAGATTGCTGATTATATGAATAATATTGCAAAAGATTCTAATCCATATAATGTTTATAATTTTATTAGACTTGTAAAGGATCCCTTACATTTAAGAATTAAGAATGATTCTATATTAACGTTTTATAAACTTAAAAAAATTGCAGAAGGAGGTTTCGGTATTATTTACAGAGCTAATTGGTTAGAACTTGTGCCCGCAATTTATATTTCTAATACATATTTAAAACCAATTAATACAACTGTTGCTATAAAAAAATTTTTAAATTCGAAAGATATTAATAAATATTTTCTAAATTAGGTAATAAATTGACACTTTCTGAAATATTTAATAATTTAAAATAACCTAAATATTATTCTTTTTTTAGTTAAGTACGCATCTTTCTTGTTTTACTTATTACAAGGAAGGATACTCGAATTATAAGATGTTTTGGTATTACAAAAGATCCTGAAACAAATGATTATATGCTAGTGATGGGTTATGCATCAGGAGATTTGCATAATAAATTTATTAATTTATCAAAATAAAATGGAAAAAAAAAATTAGGAATTTTATGGCAAATTTTATATTGGTATATATATTTATTATTTTTAATATAATTATTAACTTATAATACTAATTTTAGTTCTTTTTCATTAGACTCGAAACTATTCACAATAACAATATTTTACATGGTGATATTCATAGTGGTAATATATTATTTGTTAAATTATATGCTCGAAATTTTCAATGGCAGGTTGGAGATCTTGGATATTACAGCCTGCCAACAATACGTCATTAAATAATGAAATATATGGAGTAATTCCTTATATTGCGCCAGAAATATTTAATGGTTTTCATATTCAAAAGAACTGATATTTATAGTATAGGCATGATTATGTGGGAATTAACGACTGGTTGTAAACCATTTGCAATGTCGAACATGATTATATGAAATTATTGATGGAAAACGCCTGAAATTACAGAAGTATGCTAATTTAATGAAAGTTGCTCGGATTCTGATCCTGCAAAAAAAGCCATTTATAAAAGAAATTAGTAGAACTATTGGGTTGGTATCATGGAAAAAATAGTAACGATATATTTGTTCTTGCTGAAGCGAAACGACGAGAATTAATTAAATTAATCAAAAGGTATATATAAATTAATAGCATTCTAATTCAATAAATATTATGTATTAATTTGAGTCGACTTCATGCAAGAATATTTCTCGAAAGAGTATGAATTTGACATTCTAAGGTATCGCAATTGATTAAATTAAATTTGAATATAGTGAAATTTTTAAAGTAGAAATACGTAAAATATTGAATTTCAATTACTTTAAAAATATTTTAGTCCACCTGCAATAAATGCATACAAGTATTTCAGCTGAAAAATCAAGAAAAATTAATTATATTGAGGAATCAGAGGCTAATACTCAATTTAATAGTAAGTAATGTATTATATTATTTATTCTTTTATAATATTCTACATTTCTTAAATTAGTATCGAGACAATTTTGCAAATAAATTTTAGGAAAGCATATCAAAATTGCTGAAGTTATGCAAACATATGAATTGTTTTATCATAAATTTACAAATATTATTTAAAATAAAATGGATATTTAAAGTGGAATTTAATAATAATTGGCATTGAGACTATAAATCCATTATTATTTTTATTTATTATATAATCTTTCTTAATGTATCGTTTAATAATCACAATAAAATTTTATACGTACTTAATAGAATGATATGAAAGGCTTCTAATAATCATTAGACCTGAAAAAAAAAAAAGAAATATGTGTATGTGTGTGTGTGTGAATAAGATAAGTGCTGCGACCCGAAGAGATCGAACCCTAAAAAACACCTTATGTCTAGACAGAAAAAAGTTCTTTTTATTCCTGATATACAATAATCAGATTTATATTTGGAAAATATTTTTTGAAAACAAAATTTGAATATTTAACATAAGAAAAGCCAATAAAATATAAAATACGTATAAAGTATATTGTGGAGCATAAAAATATTGTAATAAATATTTCAGAAATTTCTAAATCTTTTAGCTAACCATAAAACTGAATGTATTGATTAGTTAAAAGTAGATAATATTTTACAGAAGTGCTAAGCAAAATAATACAAGCTTGCCGGCAGACTTTTGTATTTGCTAATAATTAAGTTTGACAAATAATTTAAAATATTTTTTTTTTTTTAGATTAAACTTTTTGTTATCTTTTAAATATATTTAACTTCAAAATTAAATTAGTTTAAAATTTTTAATTTTTTTTTTTAAATAAAATTCAATACGTTTTACAGAATTGTTAATCATAAACACTTTTGTAATAAGTACAAAGCTGAGGAATAACTATTTCTTCAGTTCGCTGGTTGTCAAGCTTTAACTGTTGCATATTTTCAGTATATATATTTGTCTATCAAAGATTTTAATCTTTTATGATTACGTTTGTACATTTATAAAATTCTACATCCTTTTTTGTTATTCGAAATTACAAATTCTCGTGCACGGATATTGTGATAAACTGTACAACTCGTGATGGTTATAGAAGTCATTTCATTTCCTTTCATTGACTAAAAACTTGAAACATCCGTTTACAGGTTTATTGACTATCTTAATTTGGTATACTATTATATTTATATTATATCCATGCGAATCTCTAGGTATTTTCAGCTTGTATAACATTACTTGGTCGTCTACAAAAAATACGAATGACCGTAGTAAGATCATAAATAAAACTAATATCTATAGATAATACAACTGTAATTTAAGCGACGTGCGTTGTGGTCGATTGTATTATTGTTGATGATGGTGGTCGTGATGGTGGTGGTGATGGTGGTGATTTGTTTGGTGGGAAACTAGAAATCCATAAATAATTTTCTGTATCGGGTATGTAGAGTTTGTTGCTATTTTGTCCATCAGTTCTCTTTCATGAAAACGTTAAAATATATCATATTGCCTTTTTTCCTAAAAAACAAAAATAAATGTAACATCCTAGACATACCAAACATGATGAATATATATCTGTTTTCTACGAGTTCTGCACAGTGTTCATTAAGCGCTGGGGCTTGTAATCCATAAATGACTAGAATTCTCCATTGGAATGATATTTTTGTTGTTTCTAATATTACAACGTTGGGTGTTACATCAAGTCCTCGACTATAAGAAGTTAGTGAGGGTATTAAGAAAGAAAGGTATTAATTGACTTGTGTATGATATCTACGGTGATCGGTCATTTCTTTTGGTTGCGGTACAATTTGTCTACTCAAGTATTATCAATCGTATTAAATATTTCGATCTATATTATAAAATTAGTAATTTACCATTACGAGAATACAGTCTTGTACTTTACCTAGCCAATAGGTCTAATGTGCGGGAACATCATTCTCTGACATCCATATCCTCCAATGATGACCAACCGTCCATCATTTAACAGTACGGAAGAAAAATTATCTGCCAATATTGAAAATTGAGGTGTCGGTAACAGAGTCTAGGTGATTGAAAAAGTATCAAATAAATATCACCTAGAAACTTGCCATTATGACCACCATGAAGATAGGCCTTTCCATTATTATCACTTAAAAGTACAAATTGAACTCTCCAATTCAAATTAGGCGCGCTTGACATTGCTATTCTTCTCCATTTATTATTTAGAATATCGTATTCTAATAAAATTTGTTCATTAACTATTTTATCTTGACTAAACGGGTCAATTATAGCACCACCAACAACAAAAATAAAATTATTATTATGACCGCCTAAAACAACTCCGCTTGATGCAAATGACAAAAAGGTCGGACTTTCAACCGTGACCATGGTGGTGAATCTGTCGTCATTGAAGTGGTAAGACCTAACGATAATATTTCGGATATGACATTCTTGTCAACATCATTATATCCTCCATGAACATATAAAATGTTATCTTTGATTACACTTGTAGCATCAGTCCGCTCTTGAATTAATTGACAGTTTATAGGTAGAATAACAAAAAAAGGTAAGAAAAGAAATATATTGAACATTTTAAGCAATTCATAAAGAAGAGAAGCAGGACAGAAAAAAATTTTGTAACCGATATAAAATGTATGAAACTGATGCATGTGATATTCAAATTACTTTAGGTTAGTTCAAATGATCGACATCAATGATCTGTCCCTTTAGAAAGGTTCATATATAAAAACGATGGTTATTTGCCTGGTTATAATAAGGGAATTAGTTAATTAGTTTAGGTATAAGTTTTAGATGAGATTTAGTACGAGAAACGTTCCAAATTTGAGGCAACACTTTGATAAATTGATAAATAAAGTTTTTTGATCTGGTTTCGAATTTATAATTATTGGTGACCTTGATCAGCTTTGCGAACTAAAAAAATGGAAGGTTTTGTTACTTTTTACCGTATCCATAATAAATGCGTTTTATTTTTTAACTTGTTTTTTATTTAAAAGAAATTTAATAAACATGCCTTTAGAATCAGATTTAAATGCTTCAACTAAACATTATAACTGGACCTTGAGAGGAAATAAATTCAAAGTTATACTCCAAACCATTGTTAATGATAATCCGTTTGCGTCACTAAATGACTGCGTCAACTAATATCATAGCTATCACGGTTATCGCTGTGATATTTATTATAACGTTAATCATTATCATAATTATATTTATTTTCATAACTATATTTATTTTCTTTATTATATTTATTTTCTCTATCATATAATTGTATTTTATACTGGATTGTTGCCTTGACAAACTAACAAGTTTCTATCGTACAATTAATAAAGTATAATCTTAACAACATAAAATTATATCTTTGCCAATATCTATTTCCTTAAAACATAAATCATCAATAAAGACGATCTGACCCTTCAACTTAAATAAATTCGTGTTTATTTCTTTCATAGTTTATTACTTAAACTCCCTGTTAGCAAATAAGCTTTGTTATCCTAACGACGTAGTGTTTAGGCTTATCACCATTTACTGAAATTTACTTCAACAGCAACAGCAAAATTTCCTCCTCAACAAAAAAAGTTCCTCTAACTCCATTTACAAAAATGTGTCGTTATTTATAAATATGTTGTCCTAAATTTTAATTAGGATTGGTTAATGGATTTTGGGATTAAAAATCCGAACGATCGGGCATAATTCCGAACTTGTGTAAAAAAAATCTTTGAAAATATTAGTTTTTGAAAGACCACAAAATTATAAAAGGATTATTTCGAATTTATTTATCAATTCAATGCATTTTTTTTAATTGAATGATACAGTAATTTATTTCAAATTATTCCTTTTTTTTTTACTTCATTCTCCTCTTTTAGGCTAATAAAATGAAAAACTTTATGAAAAATTTTATTATATAAGAGCTATTAAAAATTGAATAAATTTGATAGGATATTAATTTATAAAATTCAGGGCAAGTTCCTTGAGATGATAGAACAAATGTTAATCGTCGAGTTTTTAATTTTTTGTGGACCGTAACCAACCGGGAAAGACCAAAGCTTTATTATTGATAATGGTTACTCAGAATACTATCTCTACCAACTTCATCAACAATCGATGAAAAATTAAGTTAATTAAAAATATCAACCCATAATGGGTTGGGTAATAATTAACTTAGGGTATGTGTGCTTCATCATTGATGTCAACCTATAAAGTCTCAAAATAGAATTTCTAACGAATTAACAATATTCGCTGTACAATACATTTTGCAAATCTCTTGAATGGAAGATTGAATGGAAGATTTAAAATGTTATATAGTAAATTTACAATATTTATTTTTATTATAATAAAGTTGTTAGGTGTTCTGGAGTAACACGGATCCAGTTAATAAATATTTTATGATGTTAATTAATATTATAAGATGGGAATTTTGTGTGATTATATATTGAAATCTAAGAATATTAAAAATGTAATGAAAATTATATACAGTATTTAATGAAATCGCAACAGTTCTTATGGTTCACAAAGATTTCATCCGGTAATATATAATTAGAGATTGGTGCTTGTATTGATGATTTAGGAATGTATCAAACTGCAAAGAAAACCAGAATAGGAAAGACGATTTGTTTGGAGTATTGCCTTTTATTGTTCCAGAAGTTTTACTTGGTTGACCATATACCAAAGCAGTAGATATTTATTCCTTTGGAATGCTGGCTAATAAATTATTTTCTGAAGAAATTCCCTATGATTATTCGGCCTCACTTTAGCTATCGAGACAAAAATATCAGAAAATTCCTTGTGTGTTTTATTTTAAAATGTATCAAGAGAATAGGCTAAATGGAAAAGAATTTACCTAACTGCTGAATCCTACTACGATAAAGGTAAAGATAATAGTTAAATTTCAAATCAAAATGATGAAAGAACTAAGAGCATCAAATTAAGTGTTGTCCGTAGACACATCTATAAACTGCATATACTAGCAGTAAGTGAAGTCCATAAGACTTTGTATGTATTCATTTTATATATAGCTCAGAAGTTTTAGTTGTATTGATTATTAATAAGTAATATGATTGTAAGTTGATTTTAAAAGTTTTATTGCGATAAATGTTTTGAAACTTATCTTGTTCATCAATTATTTTGTCTAACGCATTAATCCACAACATATCATACTGTGATTTATCGGCAAGATATGTAGTTTTATCTTGTTGAACATTCGTAATAAAAAACCGGAATTACAAAATCGATTGTAATTTTATTTGGCAATATTTAATAAAGTTAAATTTTTTTTTATTTAAAAGCTGGAAACGAACCAAATTATAATGTTAGGAGATTCGTTTTCATGGTTTTCGATAATGAACTCGCAATGTCGTTTCATCGAACCTGCGAGATTCGTTAACACGAATTCTAGAATTTACCAGCCATAAATCTCTAATTCCGTGAGATTTTTTTGGCATACGGCGCTCTACGTTTTCATTAACAATAGCACACAAATTTCTATCAGATTTAAGTCTGGACTATCCGAGGGCTAATCTATTACTTCGTGACATTATTTTGGAGAAATTCTTCAGCAATTATGACTCATTTGCTTCGGGTCATTGTCTTACTGAAGCCGCCAATCATCACTGTCTCTGGAATATGCTTCTCAAGTATTTCGACGTATTACTCGGCATTCATAATTCGGCGGATACAAAACAAGCTTGTTTTACCTTTACGCAAATTCCGCCATGCAAAAATCTTTGTTTTGTTCTTGGCATGGGACGTATCGGACCGAATTTTTTGTGCCAACGCTTCACAATATTCTGGAAAGTTGGAAGGCCGTTTCATACGAAAATAAAGTTGTGCTCAAACCATCATTTGATGAGCTGCTGCGCCCATTCGATTCGTTTTCGTTTATGAGTGGTGGAGTCTCCCTTGGAAGGGATTTTTTATAGCCATTGGCTGGTAAATGTCTTGAAATTAGGTTTTTTTAACGGTGTTAGTCGCAAATCATACTGCGCCTCAGATGAACTCACACTGCGGCGATTATCATATATATATATGATACATGTGACGTTTGAATTACTTTGGATAAATCCTTATATTATATAGTTTACTTTTCATTACTTGTATTATATTATTTAGTTTCATTATATGTATTATTGAAAGGCGTAATATAGTAATAGTTAGCGATTTTATATAAATAGTCCTGTAAGTTGACCTTAAGTCGACAGAGTTTTCTCAGATAAGATTCTAATAAGTCTTGGGATTGGACTAGACTTATAACTCTAAAGATTAATAAAGTTACTATTTTACACTTTAACCTTCTTCTTGTCTTCATGATAACTAACTACACAAGCGAATCGTAATAGTAAATCGTTTTTGATTGTTAATCATTTATTTCTTTTAGGAAAGACCTTCGAGATAACTGAGATTTTAATATATTTAATTAACTTGGTTTCGGTACAATTCCAGATCTAACACCGGTTAATATAGATGAATTTAAGTCAGGCCGTAATTCAGTTTCCGGCCAGAATTAGGATTATTATGATTGTAAAAATAGTCTAACTCTGGCCAAATTTATAGTACTGGCCTAAGTTAATTTTACTAAAATAATGTACACATAAATTTATAATAAAATTGAATTGATAATGTTAAAGCTCAAAAATAATGCTTGCGAAAGAAAATTTATTAACCGCTGTTAACTATGTATGTTATTTTCATCTCTATTGTGCAGCCTTTTTGTTCCATTGTCTCGAAAGAAGTTCAATTTTGAAAGAAAATCAAAAATTTTAACCAAAATTAAGTATGAAAGGTTTCAGTAAAATTTTATAAAAATTTTCAGACATTTTATGAACATCTCTAATTCCAATAAGATTGAGAAGTTTTGGATCAAAATCATGAGAAATGCACGGATGAAATCAAAATTTTAAACTAGTATTTGTTATATTCACGTATTTATGGTATTAAAAAGTTTTAAATAATGAATTTTAACAAATTACCGTATCACAACAACACGTATTTTGTTTATCCTCAAAGTCTAGAAATTCACAATTCGAATTTTAGAAATAACACGTATTTACAAAAACCGGTTTCGAATCTAAAAAAAAATCGAACTGGTTTTAAATTCGAATGCTACCTGGCTAAAGATTATATGATTATCTGTTACGCTTAAATTTTTTCGCATGGTCCGAATAAATAAATAAAATTATTAGTTACTACCATTTTGGAATTATCGGTAGATAAATGAAGATATAGAAAAATTTTGTAAAACAATTCATTTGGGATAACCTAAATGAGCATTTGGGACATTATCCGAAATGTTCATTTGGTACATTGTCCGAAACGTGCATTTGGGACATCAACGCATTTGGGGTACAACGGCTACATGATCTAAAATAAGAGTGCGA